CGACAGCACAGGAACAAACTTCGAAAACTCGCAACCGGATTACACCACCGAGTGGCGGCATATCTACATTGCCGTTAACAACCTTTATTCGGCATTCGCTTTAGCAGTATTTATTTTTGTTGCTGCTTTTGAAATTTTATGATGAAGCCATCAAGCACAAAAACATTATGGAACTCGGAGCATGCAAGCGAGGCCAAATTTTTAGTGAGCAAAAAAGACAAATTTTGAGCTCACAATGCAAGTCAGACTTTGAACGCACCGGAGAAGCTAAGTTTTGAGCGCGCAAACAATGCCAATTTCTTCACATTCGAATGACGAGGCTTCATCGTAATAAAAACTGTTTCCCAAGAAAAAATACATTAGTTCATTTCTCCCCATTCTGCTCTGAATTGAGCACATCTGAAGTTAAATTTTGCTCGTTTCTGAATAAAGCTGTACGATCATCCAACAAAATTTTTGCATTTCTATGGATATTGAGCAATTTTAACATCTTTCGAGTATAATTAAAAAATGCTTCCAATTTCTTAAGAACCTGCAAAATATTTTGAAAAATCATGGCGTTTTTTAAAGTGTACTTTGAAGTTGTTCCCGCTGAAAAAAAAAGTAGAATTGCTTAGCTCAGAGTGGTCTTTTTCAAAAACGAGTGGAACAAAAGTACAAATATGTTAAATTTAGCTTGAAAAAAGGTGAAAAGTGAAAAATCTTAGAGAAGGCTAAATTAGAAGAAATTTCGAAAAAAACGGGAACTTTTTCTTTGTTTTAATTTCGAAAAAAAAAGAAGTCCAAAAAATTTGTGGTAAGTTTTCTATCGCCAGAAATTGGATACATTAACTTTTCATAAGAAGCTCATAGCATCTGATTGTTATTTGACGGCTTGATATATCACAAAACTAGAACATCTACAGTGTTTTAAATGCTACATATCAAATAGCCTTTCATGTGATTTTCTAATTTTTGTGGCGAATTAGCGCTGAATATATTTGTCCATCTAGTATATACCGGTTATTATATGTTTCATTTTGATGGCATTATTAAACTTTTTCGTGATCTTCGGAATCACAACTGCCAAACTGCAAAAATATTGCAACATAGGTCCACAGAGCATGCTGAGCGCATTAAATTACAGATGCGAAATGTGATCACTGACAAAAGCAGATGAGTGAATGCTGGGTGTAACAGAAAAAGCAATGAAACGAAGGATGTTTGGAACGCCTCTTTATAACTACAAAGGTAATGGAACTGGTAGGTGAGTGATGTGCAGAAGACCGTCATGAAAACGAGCGAAAGCAAAATATCGAGAACACTGTTAGCTTTCCTACCGAGTATTCCTTCCAAGTATTACCTATTATCGACTGATGGTCGCACGAAAGAAAATCGACTAGAAATTCAACAGAGAGGAAATATTTTCCTGCTCTGCACTTTATCATCTACTGCAAAATCCAAGAACCATCGTGACAGCGCAAAAGAACCATGAAAAACTCTTGGATATTTTTTCGGGAGCACAGTTTGCGAACCAGCAGAAGCTTAGCAGAGAAAAGCGTTATGGTACTAAACCCCACTTTTTATTCTCTCTTCCCCAACAGTTCTTGAACTTCTGAGGCAAAACGGGGAAATATCTGCCTATCCCTGCTCCACATTATATTTTGCAAGCATGCTACCGTAATCAAAAATGCTAGCATTTCTAAGAAAGGCAAGAACTGACTTCTCATTTCTTCTACACCTTGTCCTTAGTAATGAGGGCAGTAGCGAGAAGAAAATTTTCGTATTTTACTTAAAATTTTCCTATTTTCAAATTTTTATGATTTTACGTGTAACATGAGGCAAATATAAATCCTCATTTTGACTCGATACTTCATTCTTGATATTGTCGCTGCTTGTTTCCGACTGATCGATCACGCACGGTTGTTTCTTTTACGAGTCTGGAAAATTTTATTTGCAAGCAATTAACTGGATCTGAACGTACAAGCACTTCAAATCAAACTTGCTTGGTCTTCTTCGATGCGGAGCTCCGGATTCTTTTCTGGCCAGAGCTAGTAGTACTCCATCATCCTGAAACATTTGCCTTAAGGACTCCTGTTTTTTGTCCTATTCTCAAATATGGCCTGCAATGGTGCTCATCATCTGAATTCGGACGATGATAAAATACACGATGGAGGGTTTTACTTGCTGAAAATCATTAGTTTTACTTCTGGTCGGTAAAGTACGTCAACATGATTTAGAAATAGCAAGTTTTGAGACGTGGTGATATTAGCGCTATCTGAAAACTGCTGAAGCTTTGCGGAAGTGATTCTGATGAGAAAATTTTTTGCTAGTAATCCAGTCAAAAGTTATAAACATCAGAATTACCACTAGTTTGACCACTAGGCTGCTGGTGAAACAACACTGGTCAAAGCAATAAATATTCCAACCTATATATCCCTTCTAAAAAAAGCCTTGGGCAAAATGGAAGAACTAAAACGAACTGACAAAATCCTTAGTTAATGAAGTCTTAAGAAGGATTTTCAATTATTATTATAGTTTTTCAAAACAGTTCAGATTTAATCTTTAGCATAAAAATGGATGCAGAAGAGGCAAGCGTGAGCGTATGGGCGCCTAATGTACAGGAAGGATTCATTCTATGCAAAATTACTGACATCGGGAGCGAATGCCTTACACTTCAACCAATAAACGGATCAGAAACGGTTCGTAAATTACGCAACAAGTGGGAAAAAAGAGTGCCATAAAATCATTCAGTTTTACGAAACCAAGCTAGAAACTATTTCTGATCCTAGAAAGCGGAGGCTTACAAGTAGTATTCACTAATGCCAAAAAGACTTGTGGGATGAATAGTTTTTCGCGGGATAAAGCAGAAAAGAAGGGTTGCAACGAGTTGCGAGAGGAATTCGGTAAAAGCCTCAATCCCTGGCTTTAAAAAAGCTCAAAAAGATCCGAGGATCGATGAGTTTATATTTTTTGAAGATAGTGACTGATACTGCCTGGTACTGAGAAAATACTTTCTAGAAAAATGATGTTTTTTAGATTCAGGCATTCTACGAGGATGTATTCCCAGCTGAAAAAAATAATCGGGATGTCGACGATAATTGTATATTTTTTGCTAAATTTTGAAAACCTCCATTACTTCGAGTCGGTCCTAATTAGGTTGATTGGGGTTGAATAGGGCCCAAACGTTGATCTCCAATTTTAGGATCTGTGTTCTGGCATGAAAACAGACCTTTTTCGCAAAAATGTAACTCGAAAGAAGTGAATTCTTAGGCAGTAGCTGTAAAATCCAGAAATCAAATTCACCGACAAAATCCTGGATTAAACCTTCTTGCGATTATTTCACTCATTCCTCAACTTATTTAGGCTTTGGGCAGCTTTTCCCACAATTTTTAACATATTCGAGCCTGTTTCCAGGTTCGTTGATGTATCTCAACGATGGTACTCTTTTGCACAACTGCCGCTTGCGCTACAATCGTAAACAGTTTTACGTGCGTTTTCCTGAGCCCTTATAAATATTTTAAGAAATATTTTGTTAACTGATGTAAAACTCACTAT